ACATAGTTATTTACAAAAATAACAACGATACCTAACACCTTTTTGAAATGTACTAACCAACACCACCACCAGTGTCACCAGCTACGTGCTATAATCTGATGAAGGGCGGGCTATCCTAGCGTATGACCTAAAGATGAATAATTTATTGGCTATCAGACATGCACTGGGACTGGCATACAGTAATAATTGTTATCCTATCTACAGATAAAACTACAACGGGAAGAACACAGTCACCGCGCTCACCAATTCGCGACAGGATCCTCCTCCGCTACTAATTGCGTACACCAATGGCCGTGTTCGAACCTTCGTGGTTTTAGGAAAATGTACTCCGAGTGGCCAATTCATTATCGCTGTCTTTGTTATTCTTATAATTTTAGATAAAGGAAATATTTGCAAATCGCTAGAATTTTCGTAATATCTGTACAATAAACTGAGTGTGGAAAGAAGGGATACAATGAGGCATGCCCTCATTACTTCACAAACACAACATACAAAGAGGCAACTTCGTTGCATAAGGCTCTTTCTGTCGCATACATGACTATTTTTATCCTTAAAGCACACACCCAAAGCAGGCTTTCTAATTAAATTTTTTCCATTAGAGTACCTATACATATATTTCCTTTTCTTGACCATTAATAACAAATAATATTTGATATAGTTTTCTGTTAAATAAAACCTAACATGTAACAAAATTTAAAATAAACACCTAATAATTAATAGTGTATATAATGTAATGTAAAATAACCTTAACTGTATTTTAAAATATAATAATTGTAGTTCTCTGATGGTGTAATAAACCGAAATATTAGAAAAAAAAATTAGTTATATCTGACCGAAATTCCCAAAAAACTATAGCAAATATTATTATTAATAACTGAATAATGAGTGCTAAACATTTTTTACGTTACAAAATAAAATATGATAGGTATAAAAAAAGCAAATGCTTTATTGAATTTCCAAATTATTAATTTTGTGTTTTATTTCCCAGTTTTAAAATTTCTGTTAATAAATTTAGGTGTAAAATATTTTTTTATTAAAGCACTTTTTTCGATGTTTTAGAAAAATGCCGATACAGCGCTTCTACTCACATGATGTGGTGTGGAAGTAAAATAGATAAAATAAAAAAGAAATCGTTGAATTAACTTTTCACAGTTCACCACCTTGGGAAGTAGGAAATAAAACGTTAAAATCATAAATGAAGTTTATTTTTTATAAAAAAACAAAAAATATTTCAAAAAGTAAAACAAAAAACTTCATCTCTTTCATATGTACACCCTAACCTACTATCTCTACCCACTCAAAGAGGGCGCTGTAAAAATATTCCAACTTTACCGCAGTGAATCCAAAGATTGGTATACAACATAGACACAATCTGATGTCGTTGGTATATATTATCTTCGGTGAAATACAACTAAGTAAAGAATGAAATATTTGTAATAAAAAGAAACTTTTTAAAAATATTAAAAAATAAATCGATTCACTAAATAAATCAATTTAAAAAATCGGAAATCAGATAGGAATAAATCGATTCTCTAAAATATCAATTCATTTGGCACTTCCTAATGAGAGGGTTACAACTTTGGCACCTTATTTAGGTATTACTTTTAGTATTTATTACTTTTTGTAAATATAAAAAAATATATTTATTGGGTAGACGAGTGTTTACATTATTTGTCAATGAAAGCATTACAGTTAAGACATTTATACGCTTAATGGTAAATTATTTCTTTGTGATAGTGAGTAGTGAGTTGTCTGATTTAAAAACAAAACATGCCGTTATTTAAAATGTTTTTGTTTTTGAGTCTTTAAGTTCTTTCAAAAATAGAATATTTTGTCGAATTGGCAGATATCCATTTTAGCCCTGAAATACATAAATAATGGAATGGAGTGATGTATGGATAGGCCGTGGTGGACCTACATCATAACCTGCTTGGTCACCTGATATACACCCGTTAAGATTATTTCCTGTGCGATTATTTGAAATCAATGTCTACATGCATTTTACTCAAAGGCGGCTAATCTTAAAGACAACATCGAAAGAACTCTTTTTTGCATATTAAAAAAAGTCTAGATCATGTTTCACATTGGCAGAAATTATGAACAAAAAAATATGAAACAAAATATGCTAGAAAACTCCAGTTTCGCACATCTGTGATAGTGAATTTTTTATGCAGCTGTATTTAAATAATAACAATTATTAACAAACCACATACTAAATATCATAACCCAAGCGTGAAAAGTTCCTGATATAACTTTTTTTTATCTCTATTTCAAATGGTCCTAGTTACTTTAGAAAGTATTTGCGGCCACGTCTTAATATGAATGTTTCTTCTTATTTTTGCATGTAGAACTTGCCCACGAATTTAATAAACATGGGCGTCGCGAAGAGGGCAGGGGGCCCGCTTTTTGATTGACGAATATTTTTGCTCATTAATACAGGGTGTCCCGAAAATCGCACACCATCTTGTGGGCACACTATAAGACAATATTAGGAACAGCGAAAAAAATGTAAAAAAAAATCTCATACCAAAGGATTATTTTCAGTGCATAACATTGCATTGCATTGAAACGTTTAAAATAAAAAAAACTGAGAGAATTATTGTTTTGAAGGCTTAAAATCATAAATAAAATTTTTATTTCAACAATTATGATATTGCTGCTACCGTAGAGTACTGAAATGCTCCAGCATGTGCACCAAAACTTTATAAGAGCCAACGCATGTCTAGGTGCAAATGGGCACAATTTTGAACATTTATTATAATAAAGTATTGCATATCATTGTTAAAGTGTGTCGAATATTTATTAAACAGTGTTGCCTTTTTTTCTACTTTTAAATTGCTTATAGTTCCTTAAGTGAGGGACAAAGAATTTTTTTAACATTTTTTTCAGCACTCGAGAAAACGTATTCTCAAGATGGTGCGCACATTTGGGACACCCTGTGTATGAATCGGTTAGTCTTATTATTAAAGCGAATCAATTACAATGCTAAATAATTTAAAAACGGCTAAACTAACATACACCAATTAATTTGAATGCAATTTTTCAATCATCCGTATACAAATTCTAAATATTTTAAAAATTTTGGGGATGATGCCTATGTTATCAAGTATATAGGTAGCAATTTATTAACACCCTGTATAATTACTTATTTGATTTGACTTCAAAGTAAATAAATAATATCTGTATATGTATAAGAAATTTTATTTATGTAATATAACAAATATATACAATTACGTTTTCTAAAAAATTATTGTTATTCGCTAAAGAAAGAAATCGTTATTGACGGATTGTTCTATTTCTGATAAAATATTATATAACTGTTTTTTAATTTCAGCTTCTGGTGCCACCCTTGGCTTTCCTTCTTCCGTTCCTGGGTTAGCACATTGACGTAGTATTGAAGCGAGTTCTGAGGGTGTATGTTGTGACATTAATAACCCTGGAACTATAACTGTGTTCGACATTCGCCAACCTAAAAATATCTTCTCACAAACAATTTGTAAATTATTATTTGCAACGGAATAAGAGCATTTATGATTTTTCTTATTACATCTTGAACGACAGTCAAAAAAATCACAATCGATGTCTTGCTCACAATAATCAACCTCTCTAATTATTGTGTTAACAACGGATTTTGGTAAAACTCCATCTAAATCAATAAATTTTAATTTATTTCCTCCTTTAACGAAACCAAAATGTTTGAGTTTAATATCGCATAAATGAAATGGTTCTCGAAATCCGGTTTCTAACTCGTCGAGGAGATCTAAAATTTGTACAGCCACTTTTAATCGCTTTCCCCAATCTTCTCGACTATCACTTATTGTCAATAAAGAAGATATATCAGGAACAGGTTCCAAATACTCCACCGCAAAATAAGGCCCGCATGTACCAAGGAGCTGTGGAAACACATCTTTATCTGTAAATAATGTAGATAACAAATATTCATTATCTTGTAAGAGGAACCATAAATTATCCATTTCCTTGTGCCGTTTGCCTTTGTTTTTTTCTTCATATGAAGGCTTTAATCGTGATAATCGTACAGCAGTATCATAGGCCAGTGTCAGGTTCAATTTGTTTTTAACAATTGTTCGAATTGTTGAAAGAAATTCTTTTTCTGTTGGGTATTTTATGACTCTGTTGTCAAACCAGTGTATTGCTTGTAGGTCTTTTGGAACTGACTTGAAAACTAAACGAATATTATGCCATTCTGCACTGAAGACTGCTTCTTTCGTTGCTCGGAAAGAGTGACATGTTAGGGAATGCATATCTCGTGTTATACACAGTGGAGCGCAAAGTGAACCAACGGCAAGGCCTTCTTCGTATAAGTTACACTGAAAAAAAAAAGACATATTACACATATGGACTATTTACATAATATAAACAAGGTATTTACACGAAATATAGTAATTTACGTCCAGAAAGAACAGCTTTGTAGGCCAACAAATTCTGTAAAGGGCGTTTCCGGATGAGTTTCGTACAACTTTTTTTAGGCACGCGTGTTTCTTTAGCCTATTTTTGCTTAATTTTATCTGATTATTGAACCATTATAATAATCAAGCATTTCTGGACAATTTTTAGAACTAGTAGTTCTGTAAAGAAAGTACTCTCCGGTTTAATAATTTTCACGACGGGTGCCTAAAGAAATTAAATATCATTATCATTCATTAACTCCATCTTAATTTTGGATTATAAACACCATACTGATTTTTATTCATAAAACTAATAAAGTGCGAGCACTATCAGGAAAATAATTTCTTCATGCCCTTTAAGGGGTTCAACTAAACCATAGGCAATAAATAACACCAGGATTGAAAGAAGAACATCCCTGCCAATGAGAATAGATATAATAAATAATAATTAAACACCACAGGTAATACATCCCCCTGTATCCCTGAAGGTACCTACGGTACTTTGTGCGGGAGATCACTACACATTTAGAGATAATGGACACACACCCAATGTCCGAGTATGCTAGGATTAATTTCTAGTTTAGAAAAAATCATAGTTTCTCGACCGGGAATCGAACCCGGGACTCCAGAATGAGAGACAAGTGTTCTTACCATTCGACCACGAAGCCGCACATATAGTAATAATGATTTCTGTGTCATTTAATTTCCAAAATGTCCTGACCGAATTTAATACGATGTTGTGTATATATACACAGAGTTGTTTCAAGTCGAACAGGCGTTAAAAGGAAAGAAAATAATGACGTGTATGGATTATGCCCTCTCCACCTGTAGTGAGAATTGTCATCAATCAATACTCCACATAAAAAAATCTACACGTACACATTTGATTTCCATTTAACGCCTGTTCAATTTGAAACTTTGTAATGTCATATAATTAATAATAATTATGCAACTTACGTGAAATAGTTATGGCAGACTGGTTGCCTATATGTAAAACTAGAACTTGACCCTTATGCTCATGAACATAAAGTCGGCATTTTTGACAGTTATAACAGCATATAATTTTATTTTTTCACCCTTGAAGGAAATATTTAAGAACTTTTACTTACCATCCTCCATGCACAAAATATGTTAGAATATATACAAGTATAACTCATTACAGTAACTTTATTTTTATAATTATTAACAAAATTTCTATAGTGCCCGTATTGTATATATTCTGACATATTTTGTGCATGGTGGATGGTAAGTAAAAGTTCTTAAATTTCTTTCACGGGAGAAAAAAAGTTCTGGACTCTGTTTTGTCAAAAATGTCACACCATTATGGTCATGAGCATAAAGGTCAAGTTTCAGTGTTCCAGTGTATAGGCAACCAGTGTGTCACGACTCTTTTACGTAGGTTGCATAATTATGTAACGTCACACTAAAATGCTCATTCTAGCTGTATATTTGTAGTGGTAAGAAAAATGCTTGATTTTTCGGACTTTGTACTGTTTAATTAAATTAAACTCTTGCCGGAGTACAGTGGGTCCTAAATGATTTTAGCTGGCGAAAAATGAAAAAAATTAGATTTAAAATTTTTATCAGACATGTTTTTTGTTTCCTAATAGGTGAATGCATACGATTATGAAAGTTTTAATGAATTATGCCATTATTCAAGAGATAATAAACTCAGTTTATTATACAGTGTGTCCCAACAAAAACTATCTACCCCAAATATCTCTTCTTGTTTATTAAAAAAAAAAAAGGAAAAACATATCAATGGCACTCTACTATTTGTGATACATCATTTGAAAGGATATTCAATTAGGAATACAAAGATGTATTTGGTTTTGAATAATATCAAATATTAAGGAAAAAAGAACGAAATAAATTATTACAACTTCTTTATTTAATATACTTGTTCTCAGATTTACTTATGTTCAATATGGGTTCCATTATCATACTAATACAAATAACATTCGAAATGTCTACGTATATTTTTGAAAATCTATTATAATATCCGTTACCAGAAATTTTTGAAAATATACTATTTCGAATCACGTTTGTATTATTGTATGGAAGTTAATAAAACCCATTTTGAACATTTGGTCATATATATTTGAGAACAAATGTTCTTTTTTAAGTTAATAAACAAAGAAGTAATAATAATTTATTTCGTCCTTTTTCTTTAATATTTAAAATTTTGCGAAACCAAATACATCATTGTATTCCTAATTGAATTTCCCTTCAAATGATGTGTCACACATAGTATAGTACCATTTAAGAAATAATATTTTTTATGTAAAAAACCGTTCCCCTCAATGCTGTTGTTTTTTTTTTTCGATAATCAGATATTTGGGGTGGATAGTTTTCATTGGGACACACTGTGTACGGGAACATCTTCGATTTTTTCTCAGGAATGCCTTTTAATAGATTTTGTTCACCTGGCATCCGATTTTTTTGCCAAACATTAACAGATTGGAAGTAAATCCTGTACTACTATTTTCGGTTTCGTTCAAGATTGCTTCGATTTGGGGAATAACTGATGTCACGTTCCCTCCTTTCTATTATTTAAAACACTTCTCATTAAATTGAAAAGCGCCCTCATCGTTCTCTCCACTTGACCATTGTCTCTAGACATACCAGTAGCAATCAGATGAAGATCCACACCATTCTCAAATAGAAAATCTTTAAATTTTGTAGATACAAATGCTCTGTCCGTGACTAATCTTTCTGATTTCCTAATTCGTTTAAATACTCTTCCCAAAGCTATGATAGTATACTCTGCTTTCTTGTTTCTAATAGGACAAAATATACAGTATTTTGAGTAAGCATCAACAATTACTAAAATCTGAGTGCATTTGTCAGATTCCACAAGAGGATCCGCATGATCAATATGCCACACTTCAAAAGGTTTACTAGCTTTCGTTCCTAGTTGATACAAATCTTTTTTTTACTAGTATGACTTTTATTAGCAGTACAACTTCGACAATTTTTAATGTATTTTTTTAAAGCTTGTCCCATTTGTGCCAATAAAGATCTTGCCTAAGTCGTGCTATGGATTTATTCCAACCTATGTGAGCTGCATTGTCATGATAAGTTTTCATTACCAATAATTTTCCAGCAGCTGGTACAAAGCAGCGAAGGCCGTCATCGGTTTTAATTGATTTGTGAGCTGAAAAGTAAATAAAGTCATCCTTAACATGAAATCCATCTTTCAACCCTTCTCGCAGCTACTGGCAAAAATCATCTGACTGAAATTCTTTTATAATTTAGGCGTGGTTAATGCTTTTCTTCTTGTCCTCAGGAGCATAACAAAAGGGTTTCTGCTCATATAATCAACGTGTCCTATTATACATCCTTGTCGGTATTCAATATTGAAGGCAATATCTTCTAATCGTACCCACCATCGAGCTACTCTGGGATGTAAATTCTTTTTAAGGACAGTAGCTCTTACTGAATTACAATCAGTATAAACAGTAAAGTGAATCCCAAACAAATATACTCTAAAATGCTCAGCACCCTCAACAATAGCTAGAGTTTCAAGATCATAAGAATGGTATTTAGACTCACATTCTGTAGTTATTCTACTAAAATCAGCGATAGGATAACTAACTTCGTTTTCTTTTTGCATCAGAGCTGCAGCAATTCCCAGTGAGCTCGCATCGGTATGAAGTTCAGTTTGTAAATCTGGATGAAATATTTTTAAAATTGGTTTTACAGTTTTTTTATTATCTCTTGACGAATAGTTTCTTGTACATCAGTCCATACGAACTGAATATTCTTGCGTAGCAACTGACTGATAGGAGCAGTCAATGAAGAGAATCCTTCAATAAATCTTCGGAAATATCTCGCAAGACCCATGAACTGTCTAATACCCTTTCCATCTTTTGGAGATGTTTATATTAGATCTGTAACTTTTCGAGGACTAGGCTTGACGAAACCATTTCCAACTATTGTTCCTAAATACTCAGTTCTGCGTGCAAAAAACACACATTTTTCCACTTCAAGGAAAATTCTGCTTTAGTTAAGACTTCTAAAACTTGTCGCAGTTTGTCCAGCCCTTCATCAATAGTTTCCGAGGCACACATTACATCATCTAAGTAGACTTGCGCTACAGTGTCTTTTAAATTGCCTAATGCTTTATTAATTGCTCTCTGATAATACGCTGATGCATTAGCGAAACCAAATGGCATACGATTATACTCGTAGTGACAGTCTGGGGTTACAAAAGCAGTATAGTGTCGCGAGCTCTCCTCTACTTCAATCTGATGAAACCATTTTTCATGTTAAGGGTAGTAAAGTATTTGGCCTTTGCCAGAGCATCCAGCTGCTCATGTAAATTTGGTAATGGATAGCGATCTTTGATTGCCTTAGAGTTGATAGCTCTATAATCTACACACATTCTTAGAGAACCATTTTTTTTAACTAAAATAATCGGACTGGCAGAAGGTGACGAACTTTCTCTAATAGTTCCTTCATCTAACAAATCTTGTACGATTCTTTTTACCTTTATACGCTCAGCATAAGCTAGACGACGTGGCTGGAAGACCACAGGAAGATTATCAGTCAGTTGTATACGCAGTTTTCCAGTAGTAACCACCGATGGAGGTACAGCTCAAACTTGATCTAACAGTTCATATAACACCAGCTGTTGTTGTTCGTCCAATCCTGGCACAGTCACTTTTGGCCTTGAACAGATCCGTGTTGTAATAGAGGTACTGAGACGAAGATGAATACCATGATCTCTAAGAACAATTTCTAATCCGGGGCGATTTATAATTTCCCAATCTATTAGAGCATCTACTTCCAGTATAATAAATTAGGGACAACAAGGAAGTCGATCTCTATTGTAACATTCTGTTAGTTACCAGTAAAATACATCTGCCCAGTATGGATACTGTTTCTTTTCCAATTCCTCATATTGACAATTTGTGAGGATAATGTCCATTTATTTGGCGAATCACATGGTCATGAATGAGTGACACATCAGTGCCATTATCTACTAAATAAGAAAAAATTTGCTTCTTATCATTCTTCAAAACAGTTGCTGTAGGCATAATGGCACATCGTCGGATGTTTACACGTAATATCTTAGGTTTCCCATTTTTTCTTCCAACAAGATGTTCCATCATGACCTATTATTTTACAGAATGTGCATTCAGCAGACGATTTTCTCAGAGAGCTTGCTTTCTTTTCTTAATTCTCACTTGTTTTCTTATAAGAAATTCGACAGTCCCCCTTTTTATGGCCAGTTTTCCCACAATTATAGCATTTACCTGAAAATTTGTTCGCAATACGCCTATGTCAAAATTTAACCGGTCTTGTTGTTTCATAACGCCGCAGTATTACCATAAGTTCTGATAAAGTTTTCGGATCCTGCACTCGTACAGTATCGTAGATAGAATCACAATTGATGCCCTCAGTTACAATTGACAAAACTTTCTCTCATGGTAAATTAGCATAGAAACGATAAAGATCCCTAATTTTAATTTTGGCATATTCACTAAAAGTCTGGATTTGAGATCAATTCACCTCGTAAACTTTTTTTAACTTTGTACCCCAAGACTCATGATCAGGAAATGCAGATAACAAATCTTCAAATGCAGTTTATGTTCGCGACAACGTAGCCCACCCATGGTAAAATCGGCGATCTTCACCACGTAATGCATCTCCTACTTTTAA